TTTTTTTTTTGTCTTATATTTAGGGGACTCTGACCCTCAGGGGCAGAGACAACACAGTTGATGTGTAGCAAGATACTGTTCATAACAAGTGAGAAAATGGTGTTTTGGAATAAGTGCTTAAAATATACAAAATAAAGAATCTCAGGAATTCTGGACAACAACCTCTTGCAACTATAGTCACTTTTTCCCCCAATATCATCATGAATATGGAATACTTGAAACTTCAGCTCAAACCACTGTCCCATTCATCATATGTAGTGATGGGGCCCTCCACTGAGATTGAGTGTGTACCTCCCCCCATGATGTGATCTTAGTGTTGTAAGTTTCTCAATTTACAGTGCATTGAATAGCATTGAAAAACTAGTGCTGACATGATCGTTCCGGGAATGAGGATACAGTACATCATTCGATAAAATATGGGGCGCCTGGGTGGCTCAGTCAGTTAAGCGTCCGACTTCGGCTCAGGTCACGATCTCACGGTTCGTGAGTTCGAGCCCTGCGTCGGGCTCTGGGCTGATGGCTCAGAGCCTGGATCCTGCTTCCGATTCTGTGTCTCCCTCTCTCTCTGCCCCTCCCCCGTTCATGCTCTGTCTCTCTCTGTCCCAAAAATAAAAATAAACGTTAAAAAAATTAAAAAAAAAATGTAGTAATGATGCCCTATGTCCTAAAGGTAGACTGTCCCAAAGTCAAATATGTTTCAGATAGTCTGCATTTGTTACTAACTTAGAAATCAAAATAATAGTCTTGAAATGCCCAGTGTGTGCCAGAGACTGTGACCAGGGGACGTAAATATGAACAAAACCAAGTCCCTGCCTTCAAGGAACTCAGCCCAGAAGATGGGAGGGTTCTCTGTCCCTCCCACACCCAGCACCTCCTCAGTCTCATGGTCTGATTCCAGGACGAGAGCATCACCTTTGCTGGGGGACAGCTGGCTCATCCTGTACTTAGAGGCTGTGGGGATGGGAATACTCAGCCCCGGGCTGCAGCTTCTCCTCCCTCTCGGCTTGGAGCGTGGGAAGGTCCTGACTGGGTCTGGTCTTGGAGGAAAGGGGTCCTGTGCTGCTGCCCGGCTCACCAGAGAGCTAAGAGCAAAGTGGTATTTTCCACTTACCAGCATTCTTTATGTTAATATCTCCCTTGGGAAGCCTGTGGGAGGAGCGGACATTTTGTTTTTGTTGTATTTTAGGGCGGGAGGATTTGGTGCACACTGAGTCCTTGCCATATTTCTACTTTATACCTTCGAACTTTGTTCTAATTTCAAACACACAATTACAATTCCGTAAGATGGTGATACAGTAGGCATGTCTCCGAGGTATGGTGAGGCTGTCAAGGAGGTCACCGTCAACTGTGCCAGGGGAGATCCAGAAAATGGAGTCTTAAAAGGGGAATGGAAGCGGGCAGGTGGGGGAGGACACTGGAGAGGTAAGTAGAGGCAGAGACAGTCCAGAATTTGAGACATTCTGTTCTGTGCATCTTATGCAAATATAAACACAGGCAGGCTACTCTTTCTCTTGGCAGTAGACCATCTCTGCCTGTAACTCTAGCCCCTTACCCTCTCCCCCCCCTGGCTCCCCCCGGGGGGGGGGGGCGGCCAGTACCATCAATAACCCCATTTAGCATGTTACCTCACTACTGCTCAAGATGTCCCAAGATCAGAAAGCTAAACAGCAGAGGCGGAAAAGCCTCCTTGCCCTTTTTTAAGTATCTGCGGTTAAAAAAAAAAAAAAAAAGTTGCAGAAGACACGAAAAGCCAGTCAGCTTGAAGGGTTCTCATTATTCAAATGCAATACAGGAAAGAGAATGCTGGCATATTGAAGCCTTCAAATTTATTCTGTAAATGACATGTAATTTGAAAACAGTTCCCAGCTCTGTGCCACCTCTCAGATGGCTCATAATTCTTCAGGCTGTGATGAGCCATCTACAAATCCTCTCCCCAGGCGGCTGTTGGGCTGAGAGTTTGGCAGTGATGTGCTAGGTCTGAACCGTGGAGGGGCTAGGGAAGATCACCGAGGAACATGGACAACCTGAGGCGGAAGCTGCCCGGTGCCTGCAGGACAGCTGCTCCCTGCACCGGAACCCCAGCAGGCCCAGAGAGGAACAGCAGCTGTCTGTGGGGAAGCTAAAAAGGATGCGGTGTATACACACATGCTCTCTCCCGGCTCCTCCCGTAGGAGGGCTCCATGAAAGGGACAACACACGACATTCAGTTACACCTTGAAGACCCAACCTTCCACTGTGCCTGTAACCATGCCTGTGAGACACCGGCAGGTAAAGTCGACCAGCGAACAAATGCTTTTCCAAAGAAAGAGGAACAAACATGGTATTTTAGGGTCTATTCAAATTGAAATCTTTGCAACAAAGGTAATTACTATGGGGTAGCTATTATGCTGCTTTGTAAATTAATCATTAACCGCACAGCAAACAGCGTGCCTCAGCCTAGAATGGATGTTTTCATGAACATGATCTTTAAAGCTGAGAAGGGCTCCTTCTGCTGTTACCCACAATAAAGTATCTAAAATAAGTATCAAAGCATCCAGATTTAGCTGCCAAGAAACCCTCCCAGGACTCATGTGGCACAGCCTGATGAGGTCTACCAGCAATCCTATGTACCTAGAAACTAGAATGGGGAAAAAATTCATCACCTAACTAGAGAGTTTCTATCAAAGGCTCATTTCCTTTGCTAAACACAACATACAGAGAGTGTGTGTGTGACGCTCAGCTGAGGTGAGAGTAATTTCTCTCTAGGATTTTCGCCCGAACGGCAAACAGTTCATGAACATTTTGTTTGGGGGGCTGTGATGGTAAAAGAACTTCCAGGTAGTGAGCTCAGATAATAAGGGATCACACGCTGTCCTATTAAGTAACAATCCTAAGAAGTGACTCTCATTTCCTAATGGGGTCTTTCATTAGACTGTGGCCTGCAGTAATAAGACAGCCTCTCCAAATTAGCCGGCCTAGGAGATTAAGAGACACCTGATAGGACTTCCCCAGGACCGATGCTTACTGTGTGGTAATGGCAGGTGTCTCTCATTGCAGCACAAACTTTAACCTGGTACCACCTGGATCCCTAGGCTTCCCCAGGGAAGGCACTAGGAATACGATTTACATGTGGGCACAGTTATTTCAGGAAACACACTGTGGTCTCTTCCCTACTAGGCATCTATACTTACCAAACCAGTCCAAAAGAGAAAGAAGAGGAATAGCCATGTCGTATCTGTGCACTTCCTATAAATCTGAGGTCTCCACTCTCTTTTCCGGGGGGTTCTCTCTGCAGAAACCTTCCAGACCAAAAAAAAAAAAAAAAAAAAAAAAAAAGGGGGGGGGTTGGAGAGTTGAGGAAAAGGGGATAAATAACCATATGGGTCATAACCTGGAAACTGAATCCAAATGTACTGAAGATTGTTCAAAGTAACTTTTCTTCCTTCCTTTCATTTTTTTTTTTTTTTTTTTAACGTGGCCTCCTGAAACTTTCAACAGAGACTCTGAAACAACCTGCTCTGTGCGGAGTAGAAGTGAAGTCCCCAGTCGCTAACTCCTTACCTGGAGGTGCACCTGTAGGCCACCCCAAGTTTGTGCTCTGCAGCCAGCCTCTCCCGCGCCTCCGCCTGAGCACACGAGTGGGGTCCTAGATCCTCCCCGCCACGTGTCCCCAGAACAAGGCGAGGGGCGGGCTGGGCTCTATCCCGGTGGATAGGGAAGGCGGAAGCTTCCGGACGGGCAGGTGCTAGGAGTTGCCCGAACCTTCCCCTGGGGCTCCCAGCCTTCCCGCGGGGCCTTTTTGCGCGCGGCGGCTACTCACCAGGTACTCGGCGCCGGGACACTGCATCCTGTGCTGCGGCGCCGGGCCGAAGACTGGTAGCCCACGAAGCGCCCCGCGGCAGAGGAGCCTGCGGCCAGAAGGCCCAGCGGCCGGAAGGGGCGCAGCGCCGCCCCGCGGCCGCCTCCGCGAGCCTCGAGCTTGGCCCTCGGCGTCACCGGAGCGGCTCCGGGCCCGCCCGGGTCAGTCACCTGTCAGCGGGAGGGCCGCCGTGTTCCCAGGCCCTCGGCGTCCACCACCTGCGCGGTGGTGGTTCCCGGGATGCCCATCTCGCCGACCGAAGCGCGGAATCCGCGGCTGCTCCAGCGCAGGCCCCGGCTCAGCCAGGATCCTGCGCGCGTCCTAATTAGCGCCTCTGCGAAGAGCAAGAAGCATTCTCAACAAATCCTTCCCGAGGGGTGGAATACTGCGTTACGCCCAGCCGACAAGGAAGTAGCACGCCCAGCCGACAAGGAAGTAGCACTTACCTGTGTCGGATTCTGTTCTAGCGGCTCGACAAGCATTATGAAATCATCAACAAAGCAGAAATCATTGTTATCCCTGATCTGCAGTGAGGGAAACCGAGGCACGGGAAAGCAGCGATGGGACATGCTCAGTGAGACACAGCTGTAAGCTGTAGAACTAGGAGTTGAACCCAAGCCCTCAGGCAGGCGCCTTCAAGTGGTTCTCTGCAAACACTACGTGAGGGATGGGAAGAGCGAATATGAATCAGGAGAAAAAAAAAACACCCATGAATCTAAATGAGAGAAATATGAAGCATGAAAAATATAATAATTGGAATGACTGTTTATTGATGCTATTTATTAATAATAATGTGGGATAAATCTAGTAGAATCAATACGGCTGAAGAGGAATTAGTGATTAGAAGAGCGGTTTCAGCAACTCCCCAGCGGAAGCAGGAAAGCATTAAAAAAAGGAAATAAGGCAGCTTATTTTAAAATTTCCTAAGGAGTATCAGGTATAGAACTAGGACAGGAAAAGGAATGTTATAAAAAAGGAGAGGAGGAAATATTTGAAGACCTAATGGAGCTAAATTCCAAGGTTGAAAGAAAGAAACCTCAGACTGCAAGGGTGCATCTCAAGCCGTATAGAAATATTTCAAATATTTTTATCGTTTGTTTTAGGAATTTCCTAAAAATCCATTTATTGGAGCCATGGACCAACTGCCCAACTAGTTCTTGTCAGAATAACAGCTCTTCCTGTGACCCACAGATCAGTCAACAGAGTTATAACACAACTGTACCCTTCAAGACTCCAAACCCTCCCCTTCCCATGTCCGTGTCAACTATGACATGACCAAGTTGTCCAATCTAATCAGCCTGTCTGCACTGAAGGACGCATCTTAATCAGACCCTGAAAAACCTATAAATACCCCCATCCTTGAAACACATCAAATGTGTTTGTATTAATACATTTATAATAATACTAAATAAAAATAAAGCCTCATTGGTTGCCTTTAGCAGTTTCTAGGGCTCAGGGGTGCCTGGCTGGCTCAGTCAGTTAAGTGTCCAACTCTTGATTTTGGCTTAGGTCATGATCTCACAGTTCATGGGTTCTAGTCCCGCGTTGGGCTCTGCACTGACAGTTCAGAGCCTACTTGGGATTCTCTCTCTCCCTCTCCCTCTCTGCCCTTTTCCTGTTCGTGTGCTCTCTCTCTCTTAAAGTTTCTAGGGGTCAGACTCATTATTTTGAAACTGGTTAAGGAAAGGGGAGGAATCAAGCACGTATCCCGCCTCTCCTATATGAACTGTGCTGTGGTGTAATCACATAATTGACGGAGATTTCTCTTTATAGAAATATTCTGGCTTATATAAGTGCAGAAGGAATGACAGAATTTAGGATATCACAGTCTGCCAAACATGACAACAAAGGGACAACCAGACATTAGTCTTCTCCCAATGAAGAAAGAACACATTTCCCCCTGTGGTAGTCAACCAGAAAAATCTACACTAATCTACCAATTTATTTTTTATTTATTTTTTTAATGTTTTATTTATTTTTGACAGAGACAGAGACAGAGCATGAGCAGGGGAGGGGCAGAGAGAGAGGGAGGCACAGAATCCGAGGCAGGCTCCAGGCCCCGAGCTGCCAGCACAGAGCCCGACGTGGGGCTCGAACTCACAGACGGCGAGATCATGACCTGAGCTGAAGTTGGACGCTCAACCGACTGAGCCACCCAGGCGCCCCTGACTACCAATTTATAAGAAATATAGGGAACAGAGGGACAAGTCAAATGACACCACAGGATGCCATCAGCAAAACCGAGAATGGGAGAGTCTCAGACACAGGACCTTGTTTTAACATCAACAACAACAGTAGCAGCAGCAAAAAGATTTTAAGAAAAAAAAAGGGGGGGAAACCTAAAAATTAAAAGAGAGTTGGGAGGTATTTTAACAGAGAACAGAGGACATTGTTTAGATCCAGTTTACACCAACTGGCAAAAATAAAAGGAAAGACCTTCAGAGGACCATCTAGGGTATGCGAATCCTCACTGGATATTGGATAATTTGAAGCAATTTATACTAAGGAATTTGGGGATCTGATGATGTCGTTGGGGTTAAATTTAAGGGAAGTGCTTACCATTTAGATTTACATCCTGAAACTTATACAAAATAGTAGGCTGTCTGAGATTTGCTTTAAAAACTCTGGGGCAAGGGCCCCTGGATGGCTCAGTCAGTTAAGCATCCGACTTCGGCCCACGTCATGATCTCACTGTTTGTGAATTCTATCCGCACACTGGGCTCTCAGCACAGAGCCTGTTTCAGACCCTCTGTGCCCCTCTTTCTGTCCCTCCCCCACCTCTCAAAAATAAATAAACATTTAAAAGTAAAGTTTTTTACAAAAAAATCCAAGGCAAAGGGCAACGGGTGGAGGTGTGGAGGGAAACGAGATTGACCACCAGCTGATACTTGCTGAAGTTGGGGAAGTATACATGAGGCTCATTAAATTGTTTTCTCTACTCTTGTGTGTTTGAACCTCTACACACACCCTTGCGCACACATACGGAGTAAACCACGGTGCCTGCCGCCTCCAGAGCCTCCACTTAGGAAGCTTCTGACACTTATCGTCTGCAGGCACCTGTTATTGAGCACACTTGCCTTTCCCCCTTCTTTACTCCCCCCGCCGCTCCCCGCTCCACCTGACCCCATGCATTCCTCAAGAGGCAACAGCCCCTGCTTGGCCTTAGGGTGGTTGTGTCTTCAGAGCTGTTGGCTTCGCCAAGGTGCCACGTTCTCACGGTCTCCTCTCCAACCCCACCTGGGTCCCTGGTGCTCCTGTAGCGCTTTGGCCAGAACATTTTCACCCCTTCTGCGGGAACCTCCCCATCCCCTTCCTCATACCACCTCTCCTGCCCACCTATCCCTGTTTGTCATGATTCTCACACTTGGCCTTCCAGATGTTCTCATCTGCACCTCTTCCCAAGTTTCTGGCACTTCCTTAACTTCTAGCAGCTTGCAAACTGGCCAGATGGAGATGCAATTAGAGCCACTCCAGTTGCCCACTTTGCTTTCAAGTGTGTGACCGTCATCCCTTTGGGTCAGGTCTCTTAGGTGCAGGCTACAGCGTGAGCTCAGCTTCAGCCTGGGTATCTTATTGCTTATTCTTACTGAGTATCTGTGCTTTGGGGCTAGCACCGGGGGAAGGCCAGATTTCCCACCCCTCACCTCCCTTTCCTCAGGCTTCCTCCCCTGCCTCACTAGCTCTGTGGCTGAGTTCCCAGCATGCTTTGAACTATAGCCTGACACACGATGGTGAAAATAGTGTGATACTGGATGTGACAAAACTCCAGAGGAGGCAGGATTATGAACTCAGGCCTGAGGGTCCAGATCTTTTATCATCTTGCCTTTCCTGTCAGCCAGGAAGAGTCATCCCTCGGATTGGAAGCCAGAAAGGAGATGAAGGATCCAAGGGGTCTTGGGTTTGAACTTTGGTGTTTATAGTTGGTTCAGGAATGACCCAAGATGCACTTGGACAGAATAGGGGGTTGCGAGGAACCATTTCGCTGTGAACGGGGGTATGGTGGATAAGGGAGTTGAGCAAGGTGTGTGTGTAAAGGAGTCCCAGCCCTTTGGAGCTGGATTGAGGTAATTTCAGGGTGAGGAAGTTGGAGGCTCAGAAAAGTCTTCTTTTCTCCTTAAGATCTTTGGATCAGAAATCTGATCTTTGGAACTCTGATTATTTTTAGCTTATCTTGATCCTACAATGACTGAGCATTTTGCTTTGTGCTAGGACTTGGGCCAACTCAAGGGGCACAGGCACCACATAGGAATATTTGCCCTTTCATGGAGCTCATGCTCACATGAGGGCTGTGATAAGCAATGTGGTGGGGGGTTCTCTGCCCAGTGTGATGGTCCCGGAAGCCTTCGTGGGAAAGCATGTCTGAGCTGAGTGGTGAAGGGTGAATAAGACATGATGACGCACAGAAAGGTGAAGAGGGCATTCTAGGCCGAAGAAACAGCATGAACAAAGCCTGGATGCACGGAAGTGCCTGGAAAACCCCAAGCAACATAGAACTGCTGGAGGATGAACGTGAGCGAGGGAAGAAGGGAAAGGGAGAGGGTATGATGAGTCTGAGGGCAAAGAGTCCCCAGCCATTTAGGGCCAGCATGCCACATCAAGTTTCTGCTTGTGTTTCTGCGCTTATACCTTTCCCATTCACCCTCACGTTGTAGAACAGCTTTTGGAGATTGCTATTGGCCTGGTTGTGCTCAGAGGACTGGAAGGAGAGGGGCTTGTGTCCTCCTTGTACCTCAGAGGAGCTGGGAGCAGGAGAGACATTTTGGGGGCTGGGCATGGTATGGGAGAACCCACGTGGTGAGAACCAAGTATGAAAACTCTCATGGGGAAGTAGGACATGGGGACAGGACAGCCATCAGGCTCTCTTCCTAAATGTGATCCTTGGAACTCTTCTTCCAGCCCCAAGGGACTTTCAGGTGGGTTAAAAAATTGTTGTTTTTTTACATTGGTTTAAATATGTTAAGTTGCATTATTTATGTTCATATATTCTTTTGTATACATCACATATTGCATGGTAAAATTATATGTAACACACATGTGTCACATATGTAACATATCTAAGTTATAAGACATAGTAACGTGAACAGTCAAACCCACCACCCATTTTATGAACTACAACATTTCCCAGGTGCCTGGATGGCTCATTTGGTTAAGTGTCCGAGTCTTGATTTTGGCTCAGGTCATGGTATCACAGTTCGTGCCTTCAAGCCCTACGATGGGGTCTGTGCTGGCAGCACAGAGCCTGCTTGGGATTCCCTCTCTCCCTCTCTCTGTCCCTTCCCTGCTCGCTAATGCTCTCTCCCTTTCTCCCAAAATAAACAAAGAAACATTTAAAAA